ATACGTTAACACATTGTTTAGACGTTAGGTATTTCGTAAGGGTAGTAGTACTAGTTACAGGTACTCTTGAATTAGGATAGGCAAGTATTATAGAACACTTCTAGTATATAACTACCGGTTTACTAGTATGCCGATTCGTAGCCTAGTAGAATTATTACTAGTATACTAATCTTTTAGTTGTGTCCTAACCTAGCTGTTTTACTACGTTAGTATTATTTAAACCTACTGTTGTAGCTACCTAATCTGTCTGTAGCTACTAGGTAAGGAATTAGTAATGTTAGTCTTTAGTCTACTAGAAACATTGATTTCTTTAGCTAACAGTATTTAGCGAAGGTCTGTTAGTAATAGTGTTATTACTAAATAGGTTCGTAGCTAAGAAGGAATCAGGAATAAACATAGTAGTAGATAATAAAGACATTGTATAATGTTGTAATTATAAGGGGTAGTTTTTAATAATACAAATGTTTAGAAGAGTAAGTTGTGTTTAAAAAAAAAGGTAAGTTGTGTTTAAAAAAGGAGGAATTAAGGGGATTAGTATAAAGATTAGTATAAATATATAATGTAATACATTAAGTTATACTAAGTACGTCCTTATAGTAACAACGAATTCTTAAAGATCCTTTAAAGGCTTTAATTCTACTACTATATACTGTTAGTAACTTAGCCGTCCTTCTGTTTATTTATTTTAGGAATCGTAATCTCTACTATATGTAGTACGCCTCTAATAATCCTTGATTTTAGACATCTTAATTTCTACTACATAAATTATAGGCTATGCCGTTATAGATAGGAGTATTATAACTAAATATAAGTCGTACGTAAAGAAAAGAACGATTATTCTGTATTTCTTTTTTATAGAAAATTAAACGCGAAAAAACGCCTTTAGTATCTCCCTAGTCTTAATCGAATCCTCTATTATAAAGAGGTCTGTACTAGACAGGAAGACGCGATCGTACGTCCTGTTAGAGGGCTCTTTATTAGCGTAGATTAGTCTGTACGCCTAGTAATGCCTAGAGCGCTAGTTAGAAAACGTAAACCCTATATCGTTAATCTCTAGATCTTCTGGCTACTAATCTATAGGCCTTAGCAAATCTACTTATCTATTATCCTCTTTGTACTACGTAGCTATGTTCCTTTATATAGCTTTCTCCCTTAATGTAAAAAATCGCTCGGGTAGTAAGAAGTCTCGTAAGTCTCTATTATTTATAGTAGATTAGTATAAAGATTAGTATAATAATTACTAGGACACGTACCTGTCTACTATTAGATAATACGGCCTATCCTTCTTTAGCTGTTCTATTCCTTCTCTCTTAAGCTTTATTACCTTATAATAAAAGCTTCTCTTACTCTAGCGCTATTTCCGCTACTAGAGGCGGAACTCTCGGGCTATATTGCCCTAGGCGTAGTTAGCGTTATACTAATCTTTATACTAATCTAATATAGAACTAGTATACCTAGACGTAGCTCTACTGTACCTCGACTCCCCTTTTATTAATATTGTCGCTAATTTCGTTAACGCTTTTGTTATTTAATTTTTTATCCTCTTACTACATCTCTTTATATTATATAGTATTTTCTTCTTTAAAGTCGATATCTTCTTAGGTAGGATTTCTATTATCTTTAATAGCAAATTGTCTGCTAATCTCGCTATAGCCTAGCTCTTAAGCTAAGGTCTTCTAGTCCTTTCCTGTTCGCGATCTAATATCGATTAGTATAAAGATTAGTATAAAATACCTTAGTATATAGAAGTTAAACATACCTTTATAGTAGAACTCGGTCTCTTATATCGTTAAGTATCTGTTGTTTCTATACATTAGATGTACTAATAAATTTAGATGTCTCTTTTACTTTCTTCTTAGCGTATGTTACGGCCCCCTAGTCGGTAGCTTTTACTTTATTAATCTTTTTAACGACTTTGTTGTCTGTGTCTTAGCGCTTTTATACCTTAATTGTGTTTAGGTTTGTTAAGAGCTCTTCTATAGCCTTACGCTTTAAGTTTCTGCCGTTACTGTTATCTATTATTACTATTATAGTTGTTAAAATTTAACTATGTCATTAATTAGTATAATGATTAGTATAGATCGATACGTAAACTTATACTTACTATGTGCCTTCTTGTATCTGTGTTAAAGGAATTCTTTAAAAGGAGGAAAGCTACGGATTAATTAAAGGAATTCTTTAAAAGGAGGAAAGCTACGGATTAATTAAAAGAATTCTTAGAAAGGAGGAAAGCTACAGATTAATTAAAAGAATTCTTTAAAAGGTAAGCTACGGATTAATTAAAAGAATTCTTTAAAAGGAGAGAGCTACGGATTAATTAGAAGAATTCTTTAAAAGAAGAGAGCTATAGATTAATTAAAAGAATTCTTTAAAAGGTAAGCCGCGGATCAGGTCGTTGTTATTATTAATTAACTGTGTTAATGATTAGTATAATGATTAGTATAGATCGACACGTAAACTATACCTGTTGTTGTTGTTGTTATTATTGTTGTTGTAGAGGTAGGGTAGTAGTAGAAGAGGTAGAGTAGTAGAAGTAAAAAATGTTTAGTAAAATTAATTTACTTTTAAACTCTTTGTTTAATATTTAGGCTATAACTTTACTTTTAGACTCTTTGTTTAATATTTAGGCTAATTTAATAGACTCTTAGTTCTTTAGACTCTTTGTTCTATATTTAGACTATTAAATAGTATAGGTGTAAAATAAAGGTAAAAAAAGAAAGGGGAGGGGGGGGTTTAAAAGTAAATTAGTAATAAGTTTAAATAATACTTTAAAATTTTCTATATAATGTTTTATAATACTCTTTTACGCGATTAGTAGAAATATTAGTATAATAATTAAAATAAACAATAGATAGACGCGTTTAACGCGTCTTACTATCCTTATTCTTATTATATTATATAGTGCTATTGTTGTAGCGCTATAAGTAGGGCAGTTAGTCATAAAGTAAATTGATTTTACCGAAAATTTACCGAGCCTTTATTTTTATAATATATAAATAGACAACTCTTTACTACTTACCTACCTTTCTTTTATTAAGCTAACCTTAATTCGGTATACAGGCCCCTTCTTACCCTCTTACCCCCTACACCTCTTACTATACTAACTTTGTTAGTCTTCTTATCTACTATTCGTCGATCGCGATTGTAAAACAGCGTAAAGCCTAAAGCTAAAAGCTACTCTAACTATACTACTAAAAAGAGCTGTAGTACGCCGCCCCTAATCTAGTAAAAGGCTCTCTAGACAGCCTAACTAACCTAACTAGCCTAACTAGCTAAACGGTCTAAACCCTTAGGCTAGAAGACGAAGATTTAAACTAGGTAGTAAGTTAATTAGTATAAAGATTAGTATAAAAACTCTACTAACAAATTTAATAGCTATAGTACTAAGAGAAATAAGAAAGTACTAAAAGACTACCGAACTGTTAATACTATAGGCCCCCTTTGTAAGGCTAGTAAAGGAGATCATACTTTAGCTACGCCCTAAATTCCGAGTCTAGAGAAGCGTAATAAAAGCCTTACAAGAATCTATAGAGGCTATGTTAACTACTAAGTTTTCCTGTAAGTATTTGATCTATTATACTAATCTTTATACTAATTAAACAACATATAGTAACAAATCTTGCCGCTATCTATACTAAACGAGTCACAATTTAGTAAAAGGATATAAAGCTCGTGTAGTCTATACGTAATAGAATTCTCGGGTATACTATACTAGGAGGTAAAAGGCTATAGGGCCAAATTTAAAATAGAACAGTAATAAGATCATAAGTTACGAGGTACGATTCTGTCGTATATTTTCCGTGAATTCCTAAATGTGATCTATTAAATAACGCCCTATAAAGTAATTAGTATAAAGATTAGTATAAACTATAATCATTATACTACTACGTGATATTATTAAGGCTTAAATCACGTGTTAGGGTCTTGGTAACCTATGGGTTAGGTCATGGGTTAGGGCCTACCTACTAGTCTAAACCTACCCTATAGGTTGGATCCCTATGGGTTAGGTCCTACCTATAGAAACCTAACCTATAGGGACCTATTGCGCAGCCTAAATATACCTGACACCTAATTACCTAATTAGGACGATTCCTTGTTTCTATTTCCCTTTTTTAGTATTAAAACAAGAGAAAACTTACTAGTTTACTATTTTTATTTCCTTTTATAGTAATAAGATAGTAGAAAACTTACTAGTCTACTATTTCTATTTCCCTTTTTAGTAATAGTAGTAGCAGAATCTTACTAGTCTACTATTTCTATTTCCTCTTTCGGCATCTTACTTAGTAGAACGGCAGGCAGTATAGAGTTTAGGCTAGATAGATAGATAAGACGTTATAGGCGTAGATTTAGGGGTGTGTTATAAGAAACCACTAGCCTTATCACGTAGGGTTAGTAGTTACGGGACTAGGATACTCCGGAGGCCCTAGTCTAACCTAATTAGGGTTAGCAACCCGCAAAAAAGTTAGTTGTTTACTATTGCTATACAGGCACTCTATATGATCACTTTACTTAGTCAATTCAATTCAATGGTTCCCGCGATAGATCGATTATCCCGTGTAACAGTATGTAAAACATAGCTCGGACCGTTTTTTCTTTGAACCTACCTTTGTGTATTATCCTGCTAAAGCTCGGAGTCAAATCCCCTTGGCGCCAAATCCTTCACTAGAGGCAAGGGGGGCTATGGCAAGAAAAGGTACTGAGCAAAAAGACAAGTATTCTAGGGGAGAAAAGGGGGGATTTTCCAAGTGCCGCAAAAGTATATATTGGTGTAAGTTTCGAACGCATTGACCTTGTTCGCCCTGTCGCTGGACCCATCATTGTTTTTGACTTGGCTATGTGTCTAATGAGAGAGCCATTCAAGTGTGCACTCTTAAGGCTATCTTCTGCGATACAGATTGTTTATACGTGGTGTAGGCATGCTACTGACAGCGGTGGCTAGAACTCACCCCAAGGAAATAGCTTCTCAACTCATGAATCAGTCCATATGTCGACTGCTAGGTGGGTTCATAGAAGTCCGAATCCGAATTCGATTACTGAATGTTTTGATAAACGTAAAAACATAAAAACATGGGTCATTAAATCCCAGCTCGAATGTGCCAATGCTGCTCAGAGATTCAACAGGGCTTTATTCCTCACCAGCCGTGACCAAACGCCTATTGCTGCATATCTCATAGTTTCACAATGGTAAAAGTCCAGTCCACATAGCCTGCTGGCAACCTCTTATTGTCCAACAGCAATATAGCTCTGCTGGGCACCTCCTCTTCGACCGTTTCCCTCTTTCCTTATTTCTAGTATCTTCCTTACAGCGGCCCATCCAAGCAACCCTGCAGTCACCATGATGAACGTCACCACAACGATCTGGTCCTTCCTGCTATCCCTCTGGAAGCATGTCGTGAATATATCCTTCTCCTCGGCGTCTTTACATATAGGGAGTCTCTGGGAGACGCAAAAAGCGCGATTGCAGTTCGCACATGTTGCAGCAGGCGCACGTAGGCTCAGATGAGGCGACGATTTATCCGCTGAGGAGTGCGAGGAAAGCGGGATGATGGTGCTGTTGGAGAAGCATGTACATTTGCAGAACGACGGAGGTGCTAGAATTTTGTTAGCACTATCCGCCCGTCGATATAATATATCCAAAACCACTTACAATCAGCAAGTACTGATATGATGAGGGCGCAAAGCGCAACAAGAAGCATGCCCAGGCGTGCCATGATAATGTCCCGCGAGGGCGCGGTGATTGGTTGGCTGGGGAGGCGCTGTTGATAACAATAGTATTTTGACTTGTGGTTCGATTACATCTTATGAGATTACATATCGTTGGAGCGCGTTGTATCAGAGGATCCTATTACGGACGATGTGGGTTTGTGATGTCGTTGCCAAACGTTCATAGTCGCCGCTCGCTAGTCGTGGAGACCGGGGAATATACAGTAGCCGACCTTTCATCTCGAAAAGTTTATTACTGTAGAAGCGGACCTCCTCTGCCACCTCTCCCGCAACCAACACAATGCGTCGTATAACAAGAATAGAGAGGTCGGTCGACCTTCTGCGACCGAGGACAATTGCGAGCCGATCATCCCCGTACCTCTGTTCGGCGTGCAACCATCAAGCCTCCTCTTTTTCGACTTCTGCTTCTCGATCCGCGGACAAGAAACTTCCATTCACAGAGAGGATTCGACAGAAAATATGGGGGACAGATCAACCTCCGGGATTGGAAGATCCATATGGTGATGCCAGTGTCTTCGATCAAACTAAGAAACGAGCTGCTGTGGAGAAGAAGGAGAGCGCGGAATCTGCTGCAGAACCCGCACTGCCAGATGACTATGAGCCGGCCTCTACTTGGGATGGATTGCTGAGAGTTGGAGGCTACGGACACTGGTGGAGTGAGAATTGGGACCCCGACCATCAATTTACTGGGTTTCTGCCTCGGAAGAGAACTACGGATAGTGAGGTAGTCGTTGCTGCATTGCATCGAGCCATGGTTGAAGTGTTCGCACTCCAGCAGGCCCAAAAGCCCCTCTCCGGAGTTTCAAAGAACATATCTGAGTGGGATCCCACCGATTACGTCCAGATTGTACCTTCAGGCAATGGCGCTACGTTGCAATTTTCTTCCCAGGCTTCGATTGACGATATTCTTCAGTCATTGGACCCTGTTGACGAGACCGCCGTGAAGAAAGCTCCTACGGAATCGGAGGCAGATGTCGCGGCCGATAGATCAACAGTGGATCCCCTAAATCCTGATATGGAACCCGAGGTCGAGGACGAGACATCTGTGAAGAAAGCCCCTACAGAATCGGAGGCAGACGTTGCCGCCGATAGATCAAGGGTAGATCCCTTACCTCGTGGTTCCCAAAAGCCTAGCAACAGTGAGACCGCGGAGAAGGAAAAGTCTACAGCATCCGAGAAAGATGTTGATGCGGATAAAACTGGAGATGATCCATTGTCACCGTTTTTTCAAGCTAAGACCTACGCAGAAGTAATTGCTACCTGGGATCCTGCTTGGCTTGGAGTCTCCTTGGAAAATCCCGAAGTCAAATTCGCTGTGAGTGCCATAGCGCGGAATTCGTTAACAGCAAGCTGATGGTATATACAGGTTCTCAAGCGCACCATGCAATTGACTGGTATCAGAATTCCAGACCCCGTTATCAAATCAGCAAACACTGCACAAGCTCTCCTTCGACATCTCATTGCCCCTCCCAAACCACGAAAGCTCGCCCAAGCTCTTGTGCAGGAACAGGGCTTGAATCGTTTTCCCAACGTCAAGATTTATGGCAAAAGAAGGACACCTGTTGACAAGGAGCGAAGTGTTGGCAGATGGAAGGTAATTGAGAAAGAACTGAAGGAACGGGGACTTCCAGTTTTTGGCCGGGAGGAGCTTGCAGTAAGGGGGATGCCATTGTTTGGCCGTAACCGTTAGAGACGGAACTTGTATACTACTGTACTTATCAACATTGCAGGAATGTAGGAATGGGGTTGGTTGTATGGGTATAACCAAAACAAAGATAGGGATCAACTTGAGAATGTCGAATGTAATTACAAGTCGATCAGTTATAAGCGCCTCTGATGTCATGCAGGTGAAGATTTGAAGTTGGCTTCGGTTTCGTAAAGGTACCTGGCTGTGGCTGATGCCTTTCTCAAGATTTCCCTCATTCTTCCTTGGCTATGCAGGACTAATTCCTAGCTCCGGGGTTCTGATGATGCACATAAAGCTTCATGCTGATGGCGGCGCGGACAAGGAAGACAACCCGCTCAGGTGAAAGGAAAAAGAGAACCTGATGAACAGGAAACTCTTGTAGAACATGAAGAATTGGGCCTTGAAACGTTAATTCTCCAAGTATCCAGATTGATTTCACTTGTTAATATCTATTTATGCGTAATTGTTTAACAGAAATATTAGGTGCTTACGGATTTCCCCTCCAGCCCGCGATCCCACAGCCAAGAAGCTGAGCTACAGGTCTGTCAAAGACTATGGACTATTTACCGTACTATAAGATCCCTAAGATCTCCTCGACAACATGCTCAACACCAAAGCTCCGGCGGCCAAAGGTCAATGGTCTGTCCTCTTCGTCCTCTAGTGATACAATGGCCCTCCCACCCTTGACGATTCGCAATTTCACAGTCAACTCAATTGAGTTGAAGCTCTTAGACCGCTTCGAAGCTCCTCGGTCAGTTGAGAAGGCTCCGGGAGGGTTCAATATCACAAGCCTCACTAGATCATTCAGTGGTCTTATGGGCAATTTGACAACTCTATCTTCACCTCAACTAGCTTTAAAGTCCGAGAGCTTCAGTCATCAAGAGGTCTCAATCCCGATTGGCGCATTCGAGACGAAGACCACAGATATACAGCCAAATCCGAACGAGATCCTGCGATTGACCTTTGAGACGGAAGGGCAAAGATACAGAGTCGATACGCCGACTCCATCCAAACACTCAGCAGTTCTCGTGCCTCTCTCGCCCGACCCGCGCTTCGAATTTACAGCTGTATATCTGCCAGCGTCCTCCTACCTAGCCATCTACTCCTCTGCAAAGCTCGAATCATGGATGAGCAGATTCAGGAACGAAACTCCCCTATCCGCTCTCAGTATACCCGGCACGCACAACTCACCAACTCACCATACTGCCCTTCCCTCAGTCCGCTGCCAAGCCGTCAGCATCAAGGAGCAACTCAACAACGGGGTGCGGTTCCTGGATATCAGAGTGCAGCCTGAAAACCCCGAGGACCCGGAGAAGGATGGGCTCATTCTTGTCCACAGCGCATTCCCAATCGCACTCACAGGACACAAATACTTCCGCGATCTCGTCAACACCGTGCTGGCGTTCCTGGATGCGAACCCCAGCGAGACAGTCATCATGTCCCTGAAGCGTGAAGGCGTAGGGAGAGCCACAGATCAGCAACTCAGCAAGATCCTCCACGACCACTACGCCACCGACTCCACGCGCTGGTTTACTGAGAACCGCATCCCCGTGCTGGGCGAAGCCCGCGACAAGATCGTTCTGATGCGGCGGTTCGCCCTCGATGATTCGTTAAAGGGAGAGAACAATGGCACCGGATGGTGCATAGACGCCGAGAGCTGGCCAGATAACTGTGCAGATGGGATCTGTTCTAGCGGGGAGATCCGCGTCCAGGATTTCTACGAGGTGGCTGAGAGTGAGAATATCGAGAAGAAGATCGCCTTCTCGACGGCGCAGCTGGAGCGGGCGGCGCAGGCGGTCTGCGTGCTTCCGGGAGATATGAATGCTGCGACTGTGGAAGCTTCGAAGCAGCCCTTCTTTATCAACTTTCTGAGCGCGTCCAACTTCTGGAGAACCAATTGCTGGCCGGAGAAGATCGCCTCGAAGGTAAACCCGAAGATTGTTGACCATTTGTGTCGGGTGCATCATGAATCTGCGAAGATAGGGGCCAAGGATGGAGGGGAAGAGGGGAAAGGCAAAGGAGATGGAGGCACTGGCATCGTGGTTTGTGATTGGGTTGGGCTTAATGGCGATTGGGACTTGGTAAGGTGTATTGTGGGTATGAATGCTATGCTGGAGTTCAAGGAGAAGAAGATCAGCACTTGACGAGTATCGATGCAACGAGAGCAACGATAAGATGATTATGCTTTGTATGATATACAATTCTGGAATTTGGATTTTACACATAGAATACACGGCCGCTGAAACATGATCATTCGGCCTTGCTTTCTTTCTTCGAGCCTTCACTTGAACCTCCCTTTGCTTCATCCTCTAACATCGTCCGTCTGCTCTCCACAGTGAAATATAAGTTCTTCCCAGCGCTCTCCAGGGTATTCGTAACGCCAGCCCCAATGCTCTGTAACATAGCGACCAATTGTCCCCGTAAGCCTTCCAACCCGCCCTCAATACTCCCAACCCACTTCGTACCCTCGACATCGAACACATTCCCCTCCACACGAGCTCCCAGCAGCAACAGCTTCTGGATGCCAGCCTGGACCCCCGGGTCGTGCCACCCGGGACTGGCTCTCCGCGTGGGCGGGGGAAACTGCGGCGCGCTGGGGGCCAGGATCGACAGCGCGGCTTTCAGATGCTGCGGCGAGACCGTCGGGAATGTGAGGAGCACAAGCGGTCCGGACAAGAGAGGGGCCAGGGGATGAACCTTCTTGGTAGCGGAGACGGCCTCGTGCGCTGCTTTCGAAAGGACGTGCGTCAAGCCATCACCGTTTGGATCAGCTTGGGGCTGTTTTTCCGGCTTGTAATACTCGACGATGCGGAGAGCGGAGGAGAAGATGCCGGTCTGGATGGTCTGGAGCTTGATGGCGTCGGCGAGGTTCTCGGGCGGGAATCCGGCCGCGACCCTGGCCTGGTCGACCTTCTTCAGAGCGAGGGAGAGCTCGCGCCTTATGCCAATCCACTCCGTGGACTTGAGGTTGTTGTGTTGGAAGATGAGCATGAGCGGCGTGGAGCGCAGGACCGATGCATACTGTCTGAGAAGTTGTGATTTGCGGAACTCGGGGGGTTTGTAAGATGGCGGTTGCGTGGCAGGGAATCGAGAGATAGCTGGTGAGCCTCCGGTCATCTGCTCATGAGAGGCAGCGGGTGTAATCGCTGCTGCGGTGGCATACTGGCGTTGATTCCGGAGTGGTCTTCGACATCGTAGGATCGACGCTATTGCCTTTGAAGGCGGCTGTATTCTTGGAGGCATCCTGAGAGCAGGAATTAGCAGAGGGTAAACCGAATGATATATACTCTTGTATCAATTGGTTTTGCTTACCTGTGATATTGTTGTTGAACCAATCTGAATATGGGCTCTGAGCTCAGGACGAGTTGAAAAGTTCCAAAGAGGATTAGCGTGCTTCTGTTCAAGCCTTATCCTTTTTTCAGGTATCACCACCACCAGTATCTCTTTTGAGTCACTACCTAAGGCTAGAGAGATTTTGCATTTCTTTGGTCAAGATTTCAAGTACCAATTGGGCTCCTGAATTGAGGAAGTATGGCCTCTCAAGTTGAGCCAAGTGCTCCCCAGACCATCTCAATTACTCCGCTACTCAAGCGTTTATGGCCATCCCCTGCTGAGGCCAACGTCACGGCAGATGAGATTGCCGTAGCAATATCACACATATTTACAAATCAATTATCCCCTGTTCAAACCGGAGCCTTGCTCACTTGTCTGCATTTCACTGGGTGGGATCGGAGAGCAGATGTGATTGCAAAATGTGCAGAGGCCATGAGAAATGCTGCTTCTCGCATAGACAAGGAGAACTTGGAGAAAGTTGTTAAAGCACGTGGAAGACCAGAGGGTCATTATGAGGGAGGTCTTGTCAGTAGTACTCCAGTTGCTCTGGCAAGCCGTTCACTGATTTTCTTTAGTGCGATATCGTGGGCACAGGAGGTGATTCACACCACACATTTAACATCTCTACTACATCATCTATTCTGGCCTCATCTCTCCTCCTCCTGAGCAAGCATGGAAACCGAGCTTCCACCTCAAAATCAGGCTCAGCCGATCTGCTCACTTCTACTTTACCGACTGCGCCAGATCTTATGGCGGTTACCCCTGAGACCATCGCCAAGATATACGAGAAGAGCAATTATGCCTTTCTATTTGCCCCTGTCTTTCATCCAGGCATGAAATACGTTGCTCCTATTCGCAAAGAGCTTGGATGGAGGACAATTTTCAATCTCTTAGGCCCCCTTGCAAATCCCGTGGAGGGAAGTATAGAGGCGCGCCTTCTAGGAGTGGCTCGAAAAGATATCGGGCCTGTGTTTGCTGAGGCATTGAAGATGAGCGGTGCCAGGAAAGCCATGGTAGTCTGCGGTGAGGAAGATCTCGATGAGATCAGTTGCGCTGGCCGGACTCACTGCTGGAACTTGGTTGACCGGACGAACGGCAAAGCCGCCTCACCCGACGATATTGAGGTCGAGAACTTCACCATCAGCGCTGAAGATTTCGGACTCCCCGCGCATGCGTTGGCGGATGTGTCACCGGGCAAGGAGCCACACGAGAATGCAGCCATCTTGATGAAGCTTCTCCAAAACCAGCTCCCCAGGGACGACCCCATCTTGCATTTCGTCCTCATGAACACGGCGGCCCTGTTCGTCGTTTCCGGTATCTGTGAAGCTGATACTAGTAATATGGGCGATGGAGACGATGGGAAGGTCATCACAGAAAGGGGACCTGGGGGAGGAAGATGGAAGGAAGGAGTCAGACGTGCGCGATGGGCAGTGGAGAGTGGCGCGGCTTGGAGGCAATGGAGGCAGTTTGTAGAAGCCACCAATAGCTTCAGTAGCTAGGCTGTGTAGAAGCTATTCACAATAGAAGGGATTGGTATAGAAGCGTCGGTTCAAGGGTCAAGGCCAGAGTTAAGGCGAGAGTCAAGCCCAGGGTGAAAGACAGGCTCAAAGTGCTCAGTCATACACATCACGGCGTAACTGTGCGGCTAGAACGGCGAAGAAGGTCAGGAAGCATATAGTATCTTTCTCTTCTCTTACAGTAAAGCATGGGAGATATGTCTCTTCGATTATTATCTGTTTCTGAGGCAAGATATTTGAGGGGGGAATATTCGGGATTACATACTCCGGGATGGTTTTACTGTATCCTGTCATAATTCGATCGCACGCCGCACCTCGCACCGCGGCGCTTCTGGCCTTATCTAACCTGCAAGGGGAGATATTATCCAGAATCCAAGCGGCCTAAATGCGTAGGATAGTGCCTGGAATAAGAACAAAATAACAGAGTACCTTGCGGACCTTACCTAGCTAATATGAGTAAAGATACCAAATACCGAATTACCTCATCCGCTGTCCGCCTTGGTAAATAGCCTCCCTCTGTCGTTGCGGGCGAGAGACGGCCGAGTCAGGGCCGCCAGCTCCCAAACAGCTCCATATAAATTAGAACAGGAACCTCCGACCTTTTCTCTTTTGTCCTTTTCCCGTCACAACCCAGCATCCATTTTTCCGATTCGCATCTCCAGCCATCTCCAGTTCTCCCCGTTTCTTATATGCGTGAAGCCGCTCTGTTCTTCGTCCATTGATTTCGCAGAAGCTTATCTCCCGTCTTGATTCCGATCTCCAGCGCGGGGCAATCTCTACCCCACCATACCGAGTAAACACCAAGCAAAACCCAACTTCCAACCCTCCTTGATCTTCAACCCTCTCATCAGAACCTCGCCCAATCTTTCAAAATGAGCAAGCCTCAGGTTCTCCTCCTGGGAGAAATCGAGCAGTAGGTTTCTCCCATGCCAAAGTCCCAAGCCTCGTACCAGAACACCACAGTAGTAACGTCTTGTCCCACTATTCAGTGCGCACAAAGAATGGGCTGCCATCTCCGAGATCGCCGATGTTATCGAGCCCAAAGCTCGGTCGCGCGCGGAATTCATAGAAGAATGCAAGTCTGGCGCTTTCGACAAGGTGCTCGTTGCGTACCGGACCTTCCAGAGCGTAGCCATCACGGGAATGATTGACGAGGAACTCGTGCCCCACTTACCCAAGAGTTTGAAATTCATAGCTCATAATGGTAGGGGAACTGGCTTTATTTACTTCTGGAGAGAGTGACAGGAGTTGAGGACCTGGGGGGATGTCGAGGGCTAATTTTCTGGGGTATAGGGGCAGGATATGATCAGATTGATGTGCACGCCTGCACAGCTCACGATATCCGGGTTTCTAATGTGCCAACTGCTGTGGATGATGCTACGGCTGATGTCAACATGTTTCTCATCCTGGGAGCTCTACGGGGGTTCAACACATGTTCGTTTCCTCCCTCTGAACCACTCATGCCTCTGTACTGACAGAAAATCTAGCAATGATGGCTCTCCGCAATGGCCATTGGAAGGGATCCCCACCACCGCCTTTGGGGCATGACCCGCAGGGCAAGGTCCTAGGCATCTTGGGTATGGGAGGCATCGGGCGGAACCTCATGAAGAAGGCCGCTGCATTTGGCATGACGACCCAATACCACAACCGATCTAAACTATCTGACGAGTTGAGCGGCGGTGCAAAATACGTTAGTTTTGATGAGCTGTTGAAGACCAGTGATGTCCTCTCACTAAACCTTCCCTTGAACGTAAGTATCCTTCCCCACTTGACGTCGAACAGAGCACAAGATAACCGGCCAAACCAACAGAAAAACACCCACCACATAATCAGCACCAAAGAATTCGAGAAGATGAAGAAAGGTGTCGTGATTGTCAACACCGCCCGCGGCGCTGTCATGGACGAAGACGCCCTCGTCAAAGCCCTAGACAGCGGCCACGTCCTCTCCTGCGGCCTTGACGTCTTCGAAGAGGAGCCCAAGGTCCACCCCGGCTTGATCGCCAACCCACACGTGATGCTCGTCCCGCACATGGGCACATGGACGGTCGAGACGCAGACCAAGATGGAGGTGTGGTGTATCGGGAACGTGCGGAGTGCCATCGAGGCCGGGAAGCTGACGAGCCCCGTTGCTGAGCAGAAGGATATGTGAGCTGCGCTTATCCGTTCACACATAGAAAGGGACCTCGACAAAGCAGAGACGAGGAAGGTAATCCCGAATTGGCAGTAACACTGACCCCAAGAGCGGAGGAAGATATGTTTTGCTCGTGCTCGCTTCAAAAGATTCTTCTTTTAAGTTATTATTATCAGGTAGATCGATCCTAGAAAATAGCAACCAAGACGAAAAATGAAAAATAACGGGTGTCATTTTGCTTACTATTCTTCATCTACCCTCTTTCTATTTTCCCCCTGACACTGACACTAGGTACCCATCCACCTACCTACCTATCTATATATCTTATAACGCAACGGACCAGTCCAGTCCAACCAGTAGCGGGCTGCACCGTCCACGATCCATTCTCATCCAGTGAACTCGTCAGATAGCACAGCTGCGCGCACCCAACCAAGGAATCTCATGGTCCTTCCCTCCCTCCCTCCCTATCCTAAGTATATTCCAAGGATAGTCAAGACAGCAGGAACGCGCGCAATCTATACTCAGCGATCCATCTATTTTCTACATGTGTAAGTTGCGGTGAAATATCACATTCAGTCTCAACAAGATATGTATGTGTGTATATGTGTGTGGAGGAAATCTATTGGCTCTTCATGATAGGCAGGGAGCAAGGAAACTAAAGTACAGGAGCGTTTTTGTTTTGAAGAAAGCTTTGTTCGTCTGCGTTTCTCCTCGCGCGATTGATTGATTTCATTTCCACCCCGGGGTTTTCTTTTTTTGCTTTGTAGCACAGATGATCTTTATGATGGGAAGGAGGTTGAGGTTAGGGCCAGGATAAGCAGAGACGCCACGCCCGTGACCCCCACGCCAGAGCAAGCAAAATAGAAAGAAGAAAAGGTTTCCTCCCGGCTGCTTATTCTTAAGGTCACATGTAGGCGCTTGCAGGAAAAGAAAAAAAAAAAGACAAATCAGAAGCAGAATAAAATCCCTTTCCCATAATAAAATCCACCATAGCATCAGTGTTGACTTAGGTTCTTTTTTGCAGCACCCGTGCCTGGAGTGCCGGATAGAGAGCAGGGGGAGATAAAACGGAACGTAGACGAGACCCAGATGACCCTTTTTGATGCCACAATAAAAAGCGAGAGGCAAAATGCAATGCTGCGCCGAGAAAGAGAATTCGTTGAGATCCGTGACGGGATGCCGGCATATGAACAAACTACTTTGCTTCCGTGGCTGTTTCCGTAGCCGTAGCCGCAGCCGTATCCGTAGCCGTAGCCGTGGAGGTGCTATCGGGAGCAGCAGTATCAGTAGTAGTATTATCGGCAGCAGTGGTGGTGGTGTTGTTGGCGGCGGTGTCGGCGGTGGTGGTGGCCGCGGGAGCAGCAGTCGTGACTGGTGCAGTCCAAGAGCGTGCCGCAAGCTCGCAGAGTCGTCGAATGACATTTGTTGTGCCAGCTCCAGCACCCTCATCCATGATGAACTTCTTGGCAACAAGGAGCTTGCTCTTGTTGTCGCTCTCGTCGAGGTGAAGTGGTTGATCACTCTCGGTGTACTCGGAGACACGCTGGCTGAGAGCACGAACAACGGCAACCGAATACAGAACGTCTCTGTTCTCCCTGCCGTCCAGTAGGTTTCGGAGGGCTGCGAGGGTGTCATCGACATCCTTGGTAGAACCAGGGTCGTCGTACGAAAGGCACACGAAGTTGCCCATGGTAAACCAGAACTCCAGCTCTCGAAGTCGGTGATGGTCAGTGCTTCCGGGGACAGGTTGGGTGAGAGGGTTGGTGCCAGCGACTCTGCCGGTCAACAAGGATTCGAAAACAGTCAAGCGGTGGGCAGCCTCGACAGGATCATCGGTGGCAGGAACAAGACCGGGGTTGACACTGTGCATCTCGGCCGCGGCGTCTCGAACCATAAGGGCAAAGGCCCAGACAGTTCTGGCCTCGACACTTGAGGTGTATGCCATCTCGGCTGGATCATTCCCGGCGTTGGAAATCGCAAACTGGTCCAGTAGGTTGCCGAGCTTGTTCAATATGTTCCTGTCATTGAGGACATGAGGGAGACCCTTGGAGGAATACCACTTCGATTCGAGGAAACTCTCGAGGCCCGGCGCATAGATGCTGTAGAACAGGTGCTTTGCCTCGTCAAGCATCGTATCCGACTGCATCAGGTTGAAGGGTGGTGGGGTTGGAGCGACTCCTCCGAGATCGAGCAGTTCATCGACGGTTCTCTTCGCTGAAGCAATCGTGTAAGCGACCTCTCCTGCAAAATCAACGGAAGGGGGGATGATTGAAAAAGCGCCCCCTCTGAGATGGGGGGTATGGGTATCGGATGGGCTTGGGGGATATGGGCTTGGGCTTTGGATGTCCCTTGAAAAGACTCCGGGGCGGTGGGCCTGCATACCTGGTTGACCTCCATAACGATTTCCTGGCGCACCCGTAGGGGGGGCAGCGGCTTCAAGAGCTGGATCGATGGCCGATGCATAGTCAAACTGCTGGCCGGCCGAGCCAGGAGAGCTGACGCCGGCGGAGAGGGCTGGTTCGTAGGTCATGCTTGGGGCTGCAGCGTAGCCGCCTCCGAGCATCTGAGGCTGGTTTCCGTAGGGGTTGGCGATGGCAGAGGTCGAGGTCATCGACGGCGCCGCGCTGGGGGCGGGTTGGATGGGCGCAGGACCAGGAGCTTGCTTGAAGATCGGATCGTATCCCAAACACTCGCGCTTCGACTTCTGGCAGTTGCGGCAGGCTGGGTGTTGTTCGTCACACTGAAGGGAGAGAGAGAGGGTTAGAATGCGCGCGCGTACTTCTGACGGAGGGGGGGTCTGGGAGTGGAGGTGGAGATGGAGGTAAAGACGAAGATGAAGTTGAAGTTGAAGTTGACGATCTCCAAACACGACGGATCGCGCCTCTTGCCCAGAAGCTCGCTCGTTCGGCTTGACCAAGCTCATGTGCCTTCGCCTACTTAGGTAGATTCGCTTGCATATAGACGAAGAGACTCATCGCGAAGGAACCTCAACTTCAATCCAACATCTCTCGTACCGAATATCTGCACAAAGGGAAACGCCCGTCGTGTACTAACCTTAATTCTTCGCTTTCTGCAGGTCAGGCATCCTGTCTTGGTTCTACGCTTGATTTCCTATGGGAGCCGGCATGTTAGCACCGTACGAGCGAGGCCGGTCGTGACTGCGATGTTTTTCTCACCTTCTTGTGTCTGCCGCCGCTCATAACCCGAGAGTCGGTGAGAGGCAGCGCATATCGCATGCCCTGGCCCGTTGGATCCGAGGTGACATTGGGATACTGGTGCGAGGGATGCGGGAGCGTCTGGCCTTGGTTGTGGTAATACGGGCCACCCATCTGAGCGACCGGAGGAGGCAGAGGCGAACCCATGTGCTGCTGCTGCTGCTGCTGGAGCGGATCCAGAGATCGCATACTGGGGAGAGACAAAGAGCCGTTGCTGCCGGTAGGACTTGCGCGGTATGGTTCACTGACCTGTTGATTGTTGGGGGGAGGGTAGTTGTATTGGGCACTCGAGAGTGAAGGTGAAGGATAGGAAGTCGGGCTGGGATAGCTCGCTGGTTGACGCGACTGTCCGCCGGGCTGCTGCGCGTTGGACATTGAAGGTGATGACGGCGCGGAGCCGTTCAGCTGTGCAGAGAGATGTGGACTGTTACGATTGTTCTGCTGCTGCGCCATCTCGCAACTGACGCGGTCGCTGACAGGCAGGATGATAGTTCAGGACCCTCTGGAGGTTGAACGTGGACAAGTTGACAAGTTGAGACGGGGGCACCACAACAAACGGCACGCGGGCCAAACGAGCAGAGATCTGCTGCTCAAGTCAAGATCGAGTTTTCGAGTCGCTGCAGGGCTTCCAATAGACGCTGGATAATCGAGATACCTCGGATTCAAGAGCCTCTCGATGAGAAGGCGACGGAAGCGAGATGGGTTACCGAGAGGCCTTTGACGCGAGCGAAGCGGTTCAGATTCGTTTGGGGGGTGGGATCGTACGTATCGTTTCGTTTCGTTTCGGGGGGAGGCGAGGGATGGATCAAGGATGGATGGTGGACTGATTATGTTAAGTGGAGTGGAGAGTTTTGGGGGGGGTGAGTGGTGGAACTGGAAGAAGTTAGAACTGAGAGAGGTGAATGGATGGATTCACTGGGCGGGCCAAGACAGGTCGACTCGTGAGTGGTGAGCGTACTTTTTTTCTGCAGAAGGCGGTCAGCCACGGTGATATCGCCGCACTGGGGCGTGGTGCTATCCGACCGCAAAAACTCTGCATTGCCAAGCTGGGTCTAGCGCTCCTCGTCTTTTGCCTTGAGCTTGCGCCGGCTGGGAAAGCTTCAGAGACTGGAGTGGACCTACGGACTCTACAGAGCATAGTACAGAGGTATATTATCCTCTGCACGGCGCAGAGTTCCCAACTTCCTGTACAGCACAAGGCCGTGCCCTTTGCACAAGGGGGATCTTCAAAAGGCAGGTCACGAGGTTGTTACAAAGAGACACTGACGGTGTACAGAAACACAGAAGAGTAAGGTAAGGTAGGCAAGTCCTCAACCATCCACAACCCATCCAACAAGGTCACCGTCCCTGTCTATCCCTCCTGTAACTCCGGAGTCTCAGGCGTAAGCGATGGAAGGGCAATAGAAGCTTTTTTGCCCATAACCTTCCACTACCTATGCACCCTCGAACGGCGTCTCTTAGCCATCCTCGGGGAAGGACAGGCGAGAACCGTACCGCGCCGTCCATCCCGACATTCCTGTACTCCGCATCGTTAGGATCATTTACCGATGATGTGACAGGTACAACTACAAGGACTGGGACTAGGGGTGTGATGTCTGTATCGCGAGAACTAGCTACCGGGGTCTTGCTTTAAACAGAGTAGGTAGGATTCAAGCATTACACAAGTCGTATACCTGGATTATTATTTGCCAGCTACAAAGTACTCACTCACTCACTCACTTTATATATATGTATATAATCAAGATAGAGACTGCTAAAGAAGCTTCACTCACTTACTCACCATTACTATACCAAAAACTCACTCCTAGTAGTTCACTCACTCGGGTGACACCAGCCAGATAATCAAACCCTGGTACCGTGAGTAGGTAGGTAGGTAAATAGCTACACCAAGCATGCACGCTTCAATCCGAGCACGCTGCTGCTGCTGTCCGTCCATCCTCATCTCTCAAGAACCCCCCAGAAAAAAAGAAAGGAAAAAACAGCTAATCTGGAGCTGTTCACTGTTGTACACCAGCTAGCCAGCCATCTATCTGTATTCGTCCTCCTCGCTCAAACATGGTTTATGGGAGAAGGGAATGGGGAAATCGATATGCGCCGTACCTAGCTAGGTAGATAGCTTGATCGAGATATGTGTGTGATGGGGGTGGGTGCTCGCATGAACGTTGTTGCGGTTCAACGTTGTTGATCTTGCATCACTATATACTTCATTGATAATAAATGCCGTTTTGAATTCATCTCGGTCAAAGAAGGGAGTGTGGGAGGAATCAATCATTACTATTAGTGGTCTCTTTTTATAATTATTCATTCCTATGAAGTATTTAGATCTTTGATTAAAGATCGAGTTATTCGCGGCTGATGCTACTAATCAACTGCTAGAGGCATAACCGTTGATGGGAAGCTGCAGCTGTAACTAGGTACGCCGTCGAAGGGGGTGCTTGATTTGATTTACCACGAGATCATTCTCGAGCCATAAGACCATGGACTAGAGTGTTTGTCCTGCTACATAGCTATCAAATAGCGACGCTTGGTACAACGCCCGCATGCGTACTTGGATTGTATCTGATTTGGCCCGGCTCATCACTTGCTCTTCGGCTCAGCTTCAAGGGAGAGTTGGAGTTTGGCACGCAATCTGAACCTCTCTGAAACCACACGAGAGATACTCTCAGGCCGTCCGCAAAGCAGTATTTTCGGCCATCCGAAGAGCACGCAAGCAAATTCCCTGCCCAGTCCCGAGTGCTTCTCCGATTGAGATTGAAGCGCTTGACGCTCAACCATCCGTCAAAACTCGAGTCCAGTCGAACTTTCTCCAGCGCTTTTTGAAATCCTCCTGCCGTCTGTCCCCTCGGGTCCAACGACCTTGCCTCTTTATCACATCAGGTTCACTATCGAGCATACCACCGATAACCTCCCTCGCGAAGAGATCCCCTCTCGGCCATCGATTTGAATCCTCAACTATGTGGCCTAGTCCGCCGTCAATCTCAAACCAGACATGGAAGTAGGGCATTTCCTTGGCCATCGATCGACGGAAAGCGAGTTTGCCCAATCCATCTCGTGCTCGGGCCGCAGTATCAATTAGTTTCTTATGCTGTGTCCATTCCTCATCGGAAGATAGGATGGCTTCCTTGAAGAAGGCAGGTGCTGTCTCGCCCAGGCTATAGGGTAACGGTACAGCTTGCATCGCGGCATGCATCTTCCTATGTGGTGCCGCGGCATTTTCGTAGAACACGACATCCCGACCTTGATCGTGATACATCCGTGTGAGACACTTCATGAAATTTCGGATCTCTTCCCATTCATCATCGTCACACTCCAAAAGATTCGTTCTATGCTCGATCGGCACAATGACTGCACCGCCGTCACTGAGCTCGGGTTCCGTTGGCAAGGTTAGATAGACCCGTGTCGCCAATGATATCAGCGGTGCAATGGGTGGTTGGTTCTTCTCGGGGTGGTGACACAACTGGCAGGAATCCAGGATCCGATTCATCTTCTGGAACTCCCCAACGGCAACGTTCTTTAGGTTGATTTCGGATTTTTGAACGCGCTTCGCAAGCTTTTCTGCGTTGTCGTCCATGTATTCCAGATCATCGTCGAATTTGGCGTCCTTCGCAATACGCTCGGCAGCTCTCATGCCTTCGCCGCCAGCTTGCCCCCTTGTCCTTCTCTCTTCACGGACCATGTCCTCAATACTCATATCCTCGTTGTCTTTGACCAATCCCCTTTCTCGACCTCTCTTATTATCAATTGTCTTGACTTCGCCTCGAGTCCCTGCCAACATCCGGTTTTCCATCACTGGTAACACAACCACACCAGCTTCCGGATTATTGGAATAGCTAGACATAGCCTCATTATACTCCGCTTCGAGCTTTGCAACATCAGGGGAGTTCTTCAATTTTGCCTTCATCAGCTGGGCTTTCATCCTATTCAACGTTGTAGGGTCTGTCACTACTGTCTTTCCTGGGGCCGGCTTCTCTTCCATGACTTCTCCCTGTGGTAGTTCCGTATCATTTGCTCCATGGGATTGACTGGCGTCTTTTCTGATACCTAGCTCCAGCTTTCTTTCCTGGAACAGCTCACCACTGGGCTTCTCCTTGCCTACATAGCCTTCCCCATAGAGCTGCCGACGATCCAACTCGATTTGCTCCTCTCTGGCATCGTCAAATTCACGTAAACTCCCAAATCTCTCTATAGCAATCTCATCCACAGATCTGCCGGTCTGTTCAGCCTGCGTATACACAGCTTTGAGCTTGGTCATACGCCATTGAGCCCCTGAATCTCCAAATGTGTATGAGACCTCATGTTGCGCTTCTTCGTCTCCAATTTCTTCTAGCTTCTTCCCATCCGCCAAATCTTGTAAATGGCGATTAAGCTCATTCTTGTGGATTTTCAAGTCGTAATCGGGTTTTGAAGGAGGAGGCTTCGCGACCTTGGCGCCCTTCTGCGTATAATCAATGTCCAAAGCTGAAGGCGCTGTCATCCACGAATCGCGAACAAGTTTGGTCGACTCTGACTGAGGAACTTCATCATCTGGGATTGGTAGATCTTCGTGCGGATCTGAGGTCTTTTCGTGCTTGGAGCGCCGTTGATGCCTATCTTCATCATCATCTCTGGAGTGCCTTGAGCGTTTACGTCGGTGCTCATCGTCCTCGTCGTCTCTTGATCGGTGATGCCTGGAACTATGGTGGTGTCGATGTTTGCGATCGCGATCCTTGTTCGCATGCCTCTCACTCCTCTCCCTTGCCCTTTTCTCTTCGGCCAAAGCCTTCTCGAATTCGTCAAGGCCGTCCATTGCGTGTTTATCGGGTGGGGATGGCGTGGAGGTCGACTTCTGGAGAAGCGAACCAAGCTTGAGGCTTGAGCTCGAAAAGATTTCCTTTTGCCGACAGCCCACCTCGCGGGCCACCCCTCCTCTACATCCAACAACACTCCAGATTTAGAAACCAGGGGAAGATATGGCAACTTCTCAGACTTCGTCGGGCACTCAGCCTGTAGCTATTGTCTGCGTGGGCATGGCTGGTAGGTTTCCCTCTTCAAATCTGATGCGTTCTCACTGACATCATTCCAGGCTCAGGCAAAACCACCTTCATGCAGCGAATAAACGCCCATCTCCATGCCCAAAGAGATCCCCCTTATGTCATGAACCTCGACCCCGCAGTCCTAAATGTCCCTTTCACGGCCAATATCGACATTCGTGACTCAGTCAACTACAAAGAGGTCATGAAAGCCTACAATCTAGGCCCCAACGGCGGGATCCTCACATCTCTAAATCTGTTCGCCACAAAGATAGACCAGATCCTTGCTCTCCTCGAGAAACGCGCACAAGGCGACCCCGAGAAGCCCACGGTAAAGCCCATCAAGAATATATTGGTAGATACTCCTGGACAGATTGAGGTTTTCGTGTGGAGTGCGTCTGGAAGCATTCTTTTGGATTCCCTGGCGTCGACATTCCCTACAGTCATCGCATATATCATAGATACGCCCCGCACAGCTTCGACGAGTACATTCATGAGCAATATGCTGTACGCGTGCAGTATCCTCTACAAAACGAAGTTGCCCATGATCCTGGTCTTCAACAAAACAGATGTCAAAGACGCCGAGTTCGCCAAGGAGTGGATGACGGACTTCGAAGCCTTCCAAGCTGCATTAAAAGAAGAAGAGGAGATGGGCAGCTTTGGGGGGCTTGAAGGTGGTTCTGGCGGGTTAGGTGGGGGAAGTGGTTATATGGGATCCTTGCTGAACAGCATGAGTTTAGTGCTGGAGGAGTTTTACAGTCATCTGAGTGTGGTGGGGGTCAGTTCTATGACCGGAGCAGGTGTTGACGAGTTCTTCAAAGCCGTGGAAGAGAAAGCGGAGGAGTTCAATAGGGATTATAAACCCGAACTGGAGCGGAGAAGGAAACAGAGGGAGGAAGAAAAGGCTGCAAACAGGGAGAAAGAACTGGGAAGGCTCATGAAGGATATGGCCGTCTCGGGCGAGCCTTCTTCAAGGAAGCCTGAGGAGAAACCCGAGAAACCTGACATGGATACCCTTAGTGATATGGAATACGACTCAGATGAGGAAGAAGACGATGCTGGAAAGGATGAGGATGATGCTGATGGCCTGACGGCGAGGTATAAGAAGGCCTTGGAAGAATCCGGGGGATCAGCGACCAACGAGGATCATAGCTTCACAAGATATCTCCGAGCTAGTCAGATGAATATGTAAGGATTTGGGGCGGGGGGTAAAAGGCGTTGTGTTGGATGGTAGCATTGCACGGCGCATCTTTGATACCATAAGTAGGAAAAGGCCTGCACAATTCACAGATTCTAAAATCACCAACAGCTAACCTCTCCCTCTGCCGTTTGTGACCCCGCAGGAAACCATTCCCTTATATCGTGTAACCAGTACGCCTGCTACCCGCTCATCCCCAGTTCCATTCTTGATGGTATTTGGTCCCTTGTCTTGTGGTATTGTCGCAATCGCCCATCTCCCCGGCCTCGTCATCTTGCTTCGAACTGCACCATTCTGCACCTGGAGTCAGCAACATCGTTGCCATTTCCCAAGCCGATCCCTACTCACCTCTTTGTTCTCTCCTTGTACAGCACACGGTGACCGCACTCCTTGCATCGGATAGGGTCGCCCTTCTTCAACGGGACCTTGGAGTTGCAGTCGCCGCACAGATAGTTGATAGCGGGGCCATCGCCAGCCTGGAAAGCATCGCGACCGGGCGTGGGAGCCACGGTTGGGACCTGGTATGCTTCGCGAGACATGTCTGATTGTATTTGGATATTTGGACTGCGGTTCTTGATATGTGCGGATAGGGATGTCTCGGGGACGTGTGGAGGGGCTGGAATCAGAACGTAGCCAGAGGAAGATGGAAGTTTTTGGGTGGCAGAACTGAGCAGCCTTTCCTTTCTCGGCGAGACTCACCGCCTTCCATTGCCTTTCATCACAAAGCAATCGACTTGCCTAGATCCTGGGCCCTTGCTGGCGGGTCAGAACCCACAGAGACGGTCTCTTGGCTTGAGGAATTTCATCAGAACATCCGATATTATCCACCCTATTCTGGCAGACGTCTTACGACAGTCCTGCCCACAAAAGGCGGGCTCTTGATAACAAATAAGAGCAACGTATTAGACAGCGGGAAAGGAACCCAAACAGTAGATAATAGAGATGGAAGATAGAAGACAAAAATATAATAATAGGCTGTAGACACGGGCCCATTATATAAAGCGTCTGTGACTGAGTTGGCCATCTCTTTCTCTCTGCTCTGGACCTTCTCTCTCCTCCATAAGCTCAACTCCTTCCACTCCCTCGACTGCCCCTCAACCCCTCCTCAAACTCCCTCTTCTTCCTCATTCCCGCCTCTCGCTTCTCTCCCTCTCCCCTCTCACCTCAAGTAAAGATGCGCAAGACTCCTTAGTCCAACGATCATACCGTCGTGACTGGAGGGCTCTTTCATTATTGTGGTCGAATCATTCGTTGCAATCGTCCTTCTACAGTATCCAAGCCCTTGCGTCAAGCGGCTTGTCTGGTTTATCGCACGAGGCGAGTTTGTTCTCGTTCAGCGGCCTCGAATACGACGTCAGAATCTCGCCCGGCAGTGCATCGAACCACAAAGGATTGTGCCGCCATGGTAAGGCCCTCTACTTCTCATTGTCTATAACTTCCAAGACTCTATCGTGGAAATATCTCTGACAGGATCATCTGTAGGGTTGCTGTGTCTCCAGCCCATCACCCTACCCCGCGCAACAAGCCAATTCTTCCTCCCGCGCCATAAACTCCTCAGAACCTCAGTCGCAGGCTACCTTCCCAAGACCTTCCACCCCCGCCTCCAACTTGGTTCCTGGCATACCCCACCCCTCCCATATTCACAGTCGCAGGCACCGCCAACATGGATCTTCACGACCGCTCTCCTATGTCCTCAATCGCCCTCTGAAACCGCATGTGTGGCGGAGCGACGATCGCACCTGGACACGAACAGAGTTAGACCGAGAACGTGTGGAATTCTTTGACACCCGTGTGACCGGGCGCGCAGAAATATGGCAGGTGATACACGCGGCTCTGGAAATATTATGGAATGGGGGCAGTGATGGGGACCAAGATGGAGGGTGGGCGACTGCGCAACAGATTCTGGACGCAGCTGGGGTCACTGTTCCAACTGGTGACATGGCTAGTGGGGTATATGATGTTTTCGGCGCATTCTACCAACTGCCGGAGTACATTGTCTCAGATCCGATAAACATGATAGAATCAGACCAGGCTGAGAGGAGTGGACCTTCCAGTGAGGATGAGGAGGAGCTTTTGAGGCGCGGGGAAGAGGATGGACAAAAGCCTCTTGAGCCAGAAGATATGATGACTGTCAAAGCAAGGCGCAGTGACGGTCAGGCTCAAGATCTATGCATAGACGTTCCCAAGGGATGTTCTGTGCGTTTGTTGATTGAGAGGTTCACCGAGGAAGCAAAGGTACGTCCCTCCACAAACCTTCTCAAGAGCTCTAACTAACAGCCTTGAAGATCTCGCCGCCGCAAGGTCTCAAACTCGCATACCTGGGCAGAATATTGGACCCGAAACGGTCTCTCGAATCCCAAGGATGGCGGAACGAACATGTGTTGAATGCATTGGTATTTGGGTGAAGCTATACATACATAGTGTTTCTTGTTTCTTCTCCAGATTAGGCCCTCCTTGATGGGGGTCCAAGGACGTTTTCTCTGCATGATCCTCACGTTATAGGAAGGACATTGGGTATACCCCGGGCGTTTTTGAAATCCTCAGGTCTCGTTGTTGTCACGGCGTTCTTCAACCAAGCATTTTTTAGCGTGCTGGCAATCTGGCACGCATACATAGTTTCTCTCCAGTATCCAATACCCATTTGTTGGTTGAACTTTGATTTGGTTGGCTGTGACTGAAAAGACAGCCGACTTCGTAGTAGTAATTACAAGAGTGAAGACAACGAGACGCGCTTGATGCGGGCAGATGGTTCACGTCCAATATCTCTTGCAGAACATGTATGATCATCACATCACGGAAAACGAGCAGAGCGGAGAGGAGTTAAAGTTGCAAATAATTTTCTATTCCTATTCCTTTGGCCACCTCCCGAAACATGTCTTTACATTGTACAACAAGAGCAGTAATACTCAAGGTTTGATCTAGGGTATTGCCATTAGCTACGGATCTTAAATCTCTCAAGCGACAATATGACGGGAGGTTGGAGGGCTATCTCAGTTCTCCAAGGTGAAATATAGGTTTCTTCAATGAATGTACTCGGAAAGAACACAGCGAATATTTGGATTCATCAGAGCTACCAAGGCGGTGTACGACGCTAGGAAAAGGAGTGCTCACCTTTGGTATAATAATACGTTTACATTTCGGAGCATACCTATGCGACAATCACATAGTGTTAGCCACGATCTTATGACATGCTAAGCATTAATGCCAAAATGCAAAGAACCATAAACAAATTTCAGGCTAGAGAATGGTTAGCTGGGGTTCCATTACAGGTCAATGGTGCTCCACATACCTCATTAAATCAGATTTTTGTAAGTATGTTCATCGGCGAAGGTAAATAAATACCAACGTCTCAAACAGTGTGAATAAACAGTTCATCATATAGGTTATGGTCCAATAGGAAGATAGTTAAGAGAAGTTATATGATGTACCTAGAAGGTGAGGTTAGCAATCATGCTCGGTATCATGTGGTTCTCGATGATTCCAGAGTCGTTTGCAATGGATCAGCTGACGAGTTCTCAACAAGCAATTCCAAACTGTCTACTCTCACAAGGTTTGTACGCCTTGCTTTGATGAGAGCAGGAGCAGGAGTGCGCAGTCTGTCCGCCCGTTCGTTCAAAGTTCGTCATAGGATGCGGAAAGATGGCAAGATAGGGGTTTAAAATGGGTGTATATACCTGATTCCGCGACGAGGTTAGCAAAGGCATACCAAGAGCAGAGCAAAGACAATGATAGAACATTTGTGAGGGTCAGACAAGGCTGAAACTTAAAAGAGACAGAATCAACATGATAACTTCAGAATGAGGAATTCCTATTGATGTCTTGAGATCATCACACCCGAGGTGTACGCGAATGAGAGATTGACCTTTCACTAACCTTTTGAGTTGGATTGTAAAGAGGGTCGGGGCGCGACCAGTGCCCTTCCATCATGATGTAGAGTTTTACATGGTCTCATTAATTGCTGGATATGTAAGTTCCTGCGAACTAGTCAGCAAAGTTCCCCTCTAGGTTGTAATCATTGAGTCGAAGCCAGGGACACTGATATTTCAGAATAGATAATACAAATCCCCATGGTGATGTAAGAGTTGGATTGTTCAATTGTGTTATACTCTCATCATAAGAGGGCTGCCAAGACGAGCGATGGGAAGGCTTACCTTAATAGAGTTGTTGTAGCTGGCCACTGCTCATTGTATGCTGGGACGAGCAGAAGATTTGGGATAATGCCCAGTGTTGGAACACATATTGAGAGAAGGTAGGAATATGGATGGAAGAAAAAAAGCTGGAGAAGAAAAAGAATAATTTATACCGTGGAGTGAAAGAACGGTAAATCCCGCTAGCTTCCAAACTAGCGCGATAAGCGATTGGGAGTGGCTGTGCAGGACTGTGGCTTCAGAGTGGCATCTGACGCCCCTCGATGCTTCAGTCGTGAACATCATCTCTTCACTCTTCTATCAATCCACGCAACCGTCACAATGGCACCAGCCGGAGGTGTCCTGGCACCCATAGCCATGAGGGTGCTCAGGTAAAATCCCCCCTTGAATTTAGAAGAGGACGAAGAGCCTCGTGTTCCGCTCCGGCTCCTCATGTGACGCATCTGGATGCTAACAACCAAGTAGGCAAGCCCTCAAAAAGGCCTCACAAGCCATAAAAGAACGTCTTGGAGAGATATCACGCCCTGTCAACCGCGAACTACAACCTGTTCTTGTCCGAAATGGACCACGTCAACCTATTCCCCGTGCTGCGGCCCTTCGTCAAGGCAAGGGACGGTGGTACAGCACCCACAGCGCCGTAAATGCCGCTCGTCGATTTATGAGCACTGGCCCAGGCAAAGCTACTACATATAGCCGTGCATCATTTCCAACATCTGCAACTTCAACCGCTGTTTCACGGCTCACGACTCGGGCTCCCTTCGCCTCAACTCTACGACCGAACTTGACCGGCGGGGCCATCCCCCGAACCGCTGGAGGCTATACCATCGGTGGAGGACGTGTAGGTGGGGCTCGATACTTCTCCCATACACCTGCTGCTCCAGCGCAAGTTGTGAACAATGTTTCAGCAGCAGTTCGAGCCTTCTGGCTCTCTGGTCAAACTGCTCACTTTGATGGGATGACTCCAGCCGGAGAAAAGCGGTACCGAAGCGTGACCAATCTCCAGGAAGAGACATGCCGCAAGATGCGTTCAATGCCTAGACACGTCCCAGGTTCATTCATCGACTTCAATCTCAACCCAACTGTCACGGCACTTAGTCCACTCAACGTCACCTTCCCCTACGGCTCGAATATGGAGCAATCCGCCCCAAACTTGAACACCGAGGGCTTCTTGGATGTTCTCTCTGTCGATTTCTCACGTGCCCTGAAGGACCTGGCCATTACAATGAACGATCTCAAGCGCTTATCCGCTCTTGGTGATCTCCCTATATCCCTGGAACAGAAATCCACTCTCCGGGTTCGGTTTCCGGGCTGTGATGCCGAGACTGTAGAGCGTCTCTGCGATGAGGTTGGCGTGGAGAGAGGGGTTGTTCACCAAGATCCAGATTTTGACGACAGCCTTGGAGCGAATGTCGCCTTGATATTCCCATTCGCCCCTAGTACTGAACACACCATGACTTCGCCAGGTGGCTCATTGCGCTCAGAGACTGGCCACGACTATGACGCGGTGGAGGATATCGTTGACAACCCTTGGCTTGAAGGCTATGAGAGTATGGACGCAAGTGACAATGGGTCTGCCTACTTCACAAAGCCAGCCGACCTCCAGAACTCATCGTCGGAATACGAGGGTCTGGAAGGCCTCTACCGATTTTTAGAAGAATGTGATAATGCTAAGAGGATATAATGGTTAGAAATTTCATTTGTCGACATGTTTTTTCTGGGGCTCGGGATACCACGCGATTGCAAATAGTCTTTCTTTAAGCTGAGGCTGGCTGGATACGGAATGGGGATGGGAGTATCAAGGCGCCACAGTTAACACCACTCACACTCACTCTCCCACCAACGTTGGTGGGTTCTGAATTTCCTTAGGTAGTCTGTTAATATCGCAATACTACAACATTACCATTGCGTGAAGTTGACTGTTGTAATACTGTGCTCAAGCTGGACATTGACTTAGTATATATCGTGCTAGACGAACCCCCCCCCCC